GTTATTGTCAACGCCAAATATGAATTCAATCACCTCCGAACGATGCTTAATGAAGCGGAATGCATGGCGCATCCCTAAGGGATTGATCAACGCTGGAAGCTTTATCCTTCATTCTTTTAGCAAAAAAATTAAGCACATAAAGATGCGCTTGTTCTCATATAATACGCAAAATAAGCACATTTAATTTCACTGGGCACTTGAAACTATCCTCACGATTTCTCTGCCATTCCAATCTCCACCGCTCAAAGCTGGTGGGTGTTCGCACGTGTCGAGTTGCAGTGTATAGCGGAGGCTCGTCCAAAGTGGGCTTTCCATATTGATAAAAGGTTTGACATTTCTACCTGGTAGCATTACCGAAGAGTGAACTAGTGCCAAGAATGGATGCCATATTCGAAACAACATATCGCTAGCTGGCAAGTGGTGACGACCAGGGAATGCTTTAGCTCGACTTTTAAAGCATCAAGGAAAGAAGTGTAGGCCTGAGAAGAAATTATCAGCTAAATTTAAATTGATTCCAGCTCTCATGACTCCGTGGTTTGTAAAGGCGAGTTACTGAAGTATTTAAAAACACCAAATATGATATTTTTGCCCCCTTTTGGTCAAATTCTGAGGGAATACACATCGCTTTGATGCGTGACTAAGTAAAAGCAATGTTTTTCAGAAAAAAAAGAAAGTGACGTATGTAAACCGATAAGGCACACCAACGACGACATAGAGGCAATGCATCTGACCACTTGCAGAATCCCAGGCCAGATTCGAACCCGACCTGCGATTACTCATTTAGGATGGGGGTGAGAAGAGGAGGAGCAGAGTATATTCATTTTCCTCAGACATAGCACTAAAACAGGTAACACCTCTCTTTCTCCTCAGTCATTCTCTCTCTATCGCCTATGTAATCGTCTATGTGTCTCAGCTATAAAAGCACTTATCCTCATTTTAGTTACTGAAAAGAGGTTAAATGAAAAATTTATAACAAGATTACACTCATTTAGAATAATCATATGGGAAAAACAGGAACTGTGGAGAAAATCAATAAGTGAAACACTCTATGATGCGTGTTACTATATCCTGTTGACGTGGTTGGAGTCGTGTCGGAGTCCTTCACAGTTGATTGCTCGTAAGCGGGCTCATTCGTGTTACCTGCAGAGCGACAAGCTCCGTTCAAGTGGTGGACGAGTTGTCCGCGTCGACAGAATCTGAACTTTCAACGACAAACTACAAAGTTGGTTTTGTACTTAGAGACTCTCCTTCTCATCGTTGTCGTACAATTAGTTATGTCGATTACTGGATTATGTAACTACAGATTAGAAATCGATTAATATCGATAGGATTCTTAACAGCTTCTACAGAGTAGAGCAAAGAACACCGACAAATTACAGAACAAAAAGTCTTCCTAGGTGTAGGAGTAGATGGAAGTTATTCACACTTTGTTAAAACGTGAACTATTCTGGTGAGGTTTAATTAACTTTTCTAAGTATTTAGAACTTGGAGGATCCAACAACGAATTCCCGTGTGCTAAAAGAAGAAAAAGTAGACTATTCTAACCTTATACGGTGTACACATATGAATCTCAAATCGAGACTTCTCATAACCTTCTCTTTTTCCTAACTGATGGATTTGACTGCTAAATGGTAAGTTTTTCATACAAGTTATTGCAGTTCTCAGAAATGAAGCAAAGCTAAGGTTCATCAAGTTTTTCTTCTTGTGAAGAAACGTCCTGATTTGTTGCAGAAATTGAACTCCTTCCCAACTTCAGCACTTTTCCTATACAACTTGAAGATTGTTAATCGGATTAGTAGAGTAATAATTACATGAGTATGATAAAAAGGAGCGCATGACCGTTCCAGCGAATCAGAAAGTTTCTATCTCACTGGCTGCTTCATCTACATCTGACTGCTTTATCCACATTGTTAATATTCCTATCCGTTTTTCTTCGGAGCTTTCTGAACTGAGAAATTTTACCCAAATAGAAAAGTACAGATCCAATGGACACTATTTCGGGTGTAGCACGACTTATAAAGACGAGCCAAGCCCTTTGATTACCATTAATCGAGCAAATAGTAGAAGACAGAAGCTGAATTTTGAAAAAACCATGATTGCTCACAGCAGATTTTCATTGCGTTCTCTTGTATTAGATCTGAAACAACCCAGATGATAAAGATCTGAGTAAACGAATGCTCTAGCGCTCGAATGGGAGATTCATCGTGCACAAAATCGAAGGGATAAATGCGTAGTTATAGGCTGGGCAGAAAACGCTCAAGAAAACAGAAGAACAGAGAGGAGGAGGATCTGGCAATGAAGTGCTTCAATGAAGTCACTAATGGCCGTTAAAATTAAGATATAGGACTTGTGAAAATAATAAGGCACTCGAATATTCCTTCTTTCTGTTCAATCTGGCTTTACCTATAAGTATGTGAAAAGCTTAAGAGCGTAGTTCGGTCAGAATCAGTTATTGTTTCTCAAAAAAAATTTTCAAATTGGAAACTCATTCTTGGAAAGAAGATCTGTCCATCATCAAATAGCCGATATTATTTTTATCAACTCTTTCTCAATGATTTCGAATTTTTCTTAGTGCGTCCACATAAGTGCCCGTCGTGTACCGGATGTTGTTATGTGCATGCAAGTAATTGAGGCAATTTCTCAGGTCTTCCTCAAAGTGAGAAAGGCTTAGAGTACCTAAATAATAGTCTTAGTAATAAAGGATGAAGGTGACAACTGGGTGGAGACCTTTGCAAAAAATGGAAGTCGGCGGGTGAAGAGAATCTCAGGCTTCCTAATCATTTTCGCGATTATATGCCAGCTTAATTTACGCGTGTGGCGCAGCGGTTGGAGACGTCCTGCAATATACACCATGGGATCGATCTTCTCGCCCTTGGCTCAGCAAGCCTTCCATCCCTCCGGAATCGGCAAATTGGTGCCATACTTTTCTAGGAGGGCAGCAGCACTGGCTCTGCATTCAGTCACCTTTAAACGATGCTTAATGAAGCCAAATACATAGTGCATCCCTTCGGAATTGTTCAACGCCGAGAGCTTCATCCTTTTTAGCTTTTACTACTTTTCGTTTTCGGCAAGACCGTCCAGATAAGCTAAACTTGTTAGCATCTACATTTTAACCAGAAGTTTCGGACCATTGTGGGACTGAACTATGTATTCGCGTAGGTCCCGTCCAAATGTAATCTATGAGATTCAGCAACTCCTCGACCGAATGTAGTTTCCTTTACCATGAAGAAGAAGTGGTCACTGATGCTGGGCTGAGCTCTACATGACTCAGATCCGATGACAGGGTCATCTAAACTAACTAACAGTTTGGTACTTTTTTTGTGGAACCACACTTAGGAATAAATCTAGCGCAGGAATCTTTGTCGAACTGCACGAAGCCAGTGGTGAAACACAAGACTTTCGACTCAGCGGGAACGTAAATTGCATATACTAATGGTCTATGAACACCCTTCCACAAGTTTTTATATTAAATAAGTAAATTATATGCTTCAGTGATGTCAAATTATTTAAAAGTTTTTGCATAACTGTGACGTACGAGCTAATGATATCATGTGCATGGAGATAGAGCCGACTGAGCAAATCTCTTATAGCATCACCACCGTCCTAGATTAATTTTTGAATGGCACCATTCAAGTGAAACATAGAAAATACGAAGAAATCTGACAATAGGAAATTAAACTCATATCCTCTATGATAAATGGATCCTCTATTCAAAACGATAAGGTTATGTGTACATACTTACTTAGATACCTGGATGGCAAGTCCTCACCTATTGTGCGGACTCATGCATAATCTTCATTTTTTTGGAGTTTCGCTGGCTTAGCCTGGTCTAGCCACTGGGGTTCCCTGGAGTTCCAAGATCAACATGGCCAGTCTGCCCCCGGTCGCCACCATGGCAGTCGTAGTCCTTGTGGATCAGAGGGAGATTTGCCACCACGCGACTAGTTTGATACCAGGATGGTCGTCGATCTCGATATTGGTTTACTCTTAGTTAGGCTTCCTGTTGAAAAACCAGTATACATGTGTACATACGGAAAACTATTTGAGATTGTTTCTATATTTTTAGAGAATGAAGACAAAAGCATTAGCCCATACGTGTGGCACACGTCGGCAGTGATAAGGACGCCGGGTAGAATCGAGCCATCCAGCGAATGATACGTCAAGACGGTTTACGCGAAAGTCAAGTAAATGCTGAGTTCAATAATCATCGTTCTTTCGCTCAAGGCATACGAATCCGCATTAATGAGAAAAAGAAAGGGAACAAGAGCAATATCCGGTCCTGCCAACAATCACTCGGATGCTAGTCAGCTATCGAGCAGACCCTAAATAGATAGATGAAGGAATTGGGCGAGATTTGGTGAGGATTGAAAAAAATCAGCTCACGCACACCATGTGCACCACGTTATTGGTTCGGTTGTTCTTCTTCAGAATGTGTTTGGTCTTCAGGAAATTAATATCGGATTTCAACCCGCATTTTTTAAGTGGCATATCTCAGTTCAGAGTAAATTTTGCCAAATTAAATAAAGGACCGTTGTGATCTAGGCATTTTTGGCAACAAAGTAAAAGTTTACACACCGATTGATTAAAATTCTAGATTGGAGGCGATTAATTCGTTGATGGCAGTTCCGGCTTAGTCTTTGTTTCTGAAGCATACCTCGGACAGGACGTTTGCGAGATGCTTGAAGATGCGGTAGTTTGTAGATAAGAGAGATTTGGCAGACATGGTGGGTGAAGAGTTTTGTAATCCAGCTTGTTCAACTTTTCTAGCGTTGGAAATGTGACGTGTGGCAGCGCGTTATCGTGCGGAAGGATTGCTCGCTTCCTGCTGACCAATGCGGGACGCCGACACTGAAACTTCTGGTGCATTTCATTAATTTTCTGGACGTACTTTTCCACTGTAGTTGCTTCACACGGATTCAAGATCTTGTGAAGATTGAGCCAGCAGTAAACTACCAAACATTCAATATGACCATTTGATGGTGCATTTTCGAATTTAGGAAATGCTGCAAGATTTCGTCGTGGTACAACCAGTAAGCCTATCGTCATCGGTTCTCGCAAAGGATCCACTTATCTTCAAACGTTACAATACGGTTGAGAAGCTGGTCGTCATGGATACGCAGAAGAAGTATAGAGGATACTTTGAAATGGAGCTCACTTTAATTTTTATTCGACTCGTGCGGCAATCATTTGTTGAGACTCTTTCACCTTCTAATGTTCTTTAAACACAACAAAACAATAGAAATGTTTACAGCGTATCCTTTCGCAAGTTACTGAACAGTTGTGCGCAGTATTTGCCTACAGGGAAGAATACAATTCACTGTCATCAAGGGCGGAAGGACTTCCAGGACCTCGCGGCTTCGAGGTCCAATCCGCCAAGACGAAACTTTCCAAACCAACTGTGCGATGGTGAACGCTTCCTTGCCTCCACACGTCATTGTTTCGATCTGTTGCCCTGCACGGTCTGTGCTGTCTGAGTTTGTATTCGTAGAAGTAGATTTGTGGAAATTTTTGTCTTGGCATTTGAAATTCTAAAGGTTAGAATTATAGGTGTCAAGACAAAAATTTCCACAAATCTACTTCTACGAATACAAACACACAGTTTATATTATACTTTAGCCATATAATAAGAAATGGATAAAATAAGCTTCACGATGGCAGTAGTGCTAAAACACTAGAAAAAACTACTGCCAAACATATACAGGGAGAATGAAATCACAACTCCGCTATTAATTTCCTGAAGAACTAATAGCACCTCAACACTTGTATCACCTGTAGTCCCGTTGATCGTCGAGTGATCCGAGCGGACCCCAGTAAATCTTCCACTTTCCCCTGTCGCGTGCAAGAGTAGCCCAGTGGGCTCTGCTCGCTCTCTCGACTCGTCGAGCATCATATCTTTCTTCTAGGCTCTTCGTGGAGAACTCTGACCATCTGGTCGGTGGTCTTTCTGCAGTACGTTTGACATCCCGAGGAACCCAGTCACTAACGGCTCTTATCCATCGGTTGTCATTCATACGCATTAGGTGTCCGGTCCACCCTATCTTCGACTGTTTCGCGTACAGAACGGCATAATTGGTTTTGACCGTTGACGCAGGTCGAAGCTCCGGATGTCATCCCTTACTTGTGCGGAACGGAATACTCTTAGCACCGTCCTTTCGACGGCGCGTTCAATAACGCTCAGTGATCTTTCATTTTGCTTACGCAGCGACCACGTTTCTGACGCATACGTTAGGGCAGGAAGTACCGCTGAGTCGAAACGGTGGGCACGGAGTCGGGTGTTCTTTGTTCTCTTCACTACATCCTCGATGCTCTTGAAAACTCACCAAGCCTCTCAATTCCTTCTGCTTGACTCTGGAGCTAAGTCACTCATCATGTTGATTTCCCGACTTTGACAGAAGCAACTGAGCATTCGGAGAAATTCATTTCGTGGAGCGTGAATGGGGCGCATGAAACTAATCCATTGCTCATGAACATCGTTTCTGTGAGATTCAGTCGAAGATCAATCTTTCCACAGGATTTATCAAAGTCGTCAAGCATACGTTCCGCTTGTCTAATGTTTGGTGTTATAAGGATGATGTCATCAGCAAAGCAAAGATGATGTAACTGCCGACCATCGATTTTCACTCCAATATTATCCCATTCCAATGTTCGCATGACGTTCTGGAGCTTTGCCGTAGATAATGTTGGCGAGATGGTATCGACTTGGCTAACTCCTCTTTTGACGTCAATGTTAATATCGTTATAGTAATGGTGACATCTTGGCTGTGAAATTTTTGTACATCTCACGAAGAATCTTTATGTACTGAGTAGGGACTCCTTGACTATCAAGAGCTTTCATGACTGCTTCTAATGACTGCTTCTATCTCAATTGAATGAAAAGCCTTCTGCAAATCGTTGAAAGTGAGACAGAGCGGTTTCTAGCACTCTCCCGATACTTCAATGAGCCTTGTTATCGGTTGGATGTCGAACATCGTACCAAATCCATTTCGAAACCGTGCTTGCTCACATGAGTGTCCTACGTCCAGTGTTCTGCCAATCCTGTTTCGGATGACTCGATTGAAAAGTTTGTAGACGACAGAGAGTAAGCAGATAGGGCGATAGTTGACGATATCGTGTAGGTGTCCCTTCTCGAGCAATAACACGGTCGTGCTGGTCCACTGAGTAGGGACCTTGATTTCAGACAGGTAACGTGTGAAGAGCCGAGCCAGTGTGTTTACGAGGACTGGCAGAAGGATCTTCAGGTGTTCTGGTCTTATCCTCTCCGGACCTGGTGCTGTTCGATATTTCACCGACGAAATGGCATGTCGGATTTCGGAAGGGAGAACCGGTGGTACAACATATCCACCCTCCTTTATTTCATATGGCGGAAGGTGGACGTGGCTATCGAAGAGATCCGAGTAGTATTCGTGAATGATTTTCTCCATTGCCTTTGTGGACGCCGTAACTGTTCCGTCTGGGCGCCGGAGTGCAACCATTTTGGTCTTATAATTGGCAAAGCTTCGGTTGGCTTTGCGAATGCTTCTCCCAGCCTCTGCAGCTTCGACCACTACTGCTCTTCTCTCTTTTAAGATCTTCTTTTATCGTCTGTCTGCATTGTTTTGCAAGTTCGGACGTTAGTTTGCGGTTGCCTGCAGCTTGTGCGATTCCACGCTGGCGTATCAGCTCCAGTATTTCTGGACACAAACGTCTCTTCATGGCTTTCGAACTCTCAGTTTTCATAGCGTTAACGTGAATATGTTGAATGAGCCGATTGTTTTCTTCGTCGATGATATCGAAAACGGCTTTCCAACAGCCGACTAATAAATTGAATAAGTCCCAGTTCACGGTGGTTCTGGGACCTCCGTTTTTGAATTTAGCGGCTTTTCTCCTTTCCGCGAGAAATAGAATCTTGTACGAAGGAGATGGTGGTCTGATCCCGTGTAGAATTTTGAAACAACAGCGTCATCGTTTGGGCAAAACCTTCTATTTATTATGATGTGATCTATTTCGTCATGGTACTCTTCACTGGGAGACTACCACGTCCAGCGCTGAGGGTGGGGCTTCTGGAATTGCGAGTAACCATGGATTGTCTTGTTCGCCATAATAAACTCAGGTAGCCATTCATTCTTTCTGTTCCATTCTAATCAATGGTTCCCAATGTGATATTCTTCAGACATTCTTCTTGGTCCAATCTCGGCCTAAGACCTCCAGTGATGACGTTGGAGAATGTATGGTCTTCTTTGTAGAACTTTTCGAAGTCCATATAGAACGCTTCGACTTCTTCTTCGTCATAGTTTGATGTCGGCGTGTAAACGACGAAGACTGTCAAAGCCGGTATTGAACCACATCTTTTCAAACGTAAACGCCCGATTTGGGTTGCAAGTTGTTCGAGTGAATCGATGTTCATGGACAAGCTCGTGTTGACGAGCACGCCGACGCCGCTGACTCCTCTACTGTCGCATGTTCCGAGGAACGCTTCTTCTCCGGTGTCATAGACGGCGTTGAAAGCCCGGTGTCTTCTCGTCTCGGCCAGGCCGATGACGTCGTACTTTCTCCTTCTTGCTTGCATGAGCAAGTCTTCTATTGAGGACTCGCATGCAAGTGTACGTGCACTGTAGGTACAGATCGTCACCATAGTTCTTTGAAATCCAGGCAGCTTCCATTGACCCTGAGATTTTAGCAGCCTTTACGTACTCGTCCTACCCAACGCTGTGAAATTGGGGGCTCTTTCGGTGTCAGGGGAATGAGGCCCGTTCTTTTTGCTGTGTTTAGCATTTTTTGATACCCACGTATAGCTTGCTGGGCTCTGAACGTGGGGGCTGGGTATACTCACGGGTAGCTTGCCAGGCTCTCCCAGAGTGGACTTGGAGCTTATTTGTTGGAAGCAACTCCTAACCACCCCCATATAGTTCCCAGTCACTTGATTGCAGGCCTTTGGCCGAATTGACTCGTAGAATAGAATCCGCATAAACAAGAACGCACCCACACACGCATGCATGAATACATCTAGCAGATACGGAAAGTATGTGTCAAATCAGCGCAGCAGAAACAGGGTGTCCATCCATCTCCTGGATCCACCTGCATCTCAGGCAAGCAAAGGTCGCTTTTGGTCCACGATTAGTTAGTGACAGATGAATGAGGAGAGCGCTTTTGGTCCTCTATCCGCCACCTGGGAACGCGCCACGTAGCCTCGCGACTAATCGGCTCGAGATCCCGCATATGAGGGAGATCCGTGGAATAGCACCTCATACTCTAGGAAATTAAGCTTTCTATGTTCAAGTCATCGCAAATCATCATGGACTCTGAAAAATCGGTGGCTAACGCTATTGCTGAATCTACCCATCTATAAAATGTAGAACTCCTTCAGCGCTGACGATGCTTGAAAACGCTAGCTTTCACAGTGGTGTCATGTTCCATTTGGGTGCAGCGAAAGATCCGCAGATTAAATGAATTGAAATTAATTTAATAATAAGACAATGGGTTATTTGCAGTTAATGCAGGTTTAAAAGCGAAAAACCTTAGTTAAAGGATCGATAATGTGCTAGAAGCTGCTTTATAATCATTCATGATGATTACTACCAGTAAGAAGAATTTCTCTCAGCGGTTTACCACCTCCTTGTTCCTGGGTGTCGCGCTGCGATGCACAGCACGATTCATCCTACCAGCAGGGTTTCCCAAGCGGAGAAGGAGTCTGGCGTTTTCATCAGGAAGCCGAGCTAAGAAATTTCCCTCCGATCCACAAGCGCGGCGACTGCCTGTGGTGGTGACGACCTGGGACAGACTTAGCTAAGCTGACCTCCGGACTTCGGCAAACCATAACTGCTAAGCCAGCAAGACTCGGAAAAAATAGAAATTATGATGGGGCCTGCAAAATCAGTGAAGACGGTTTATCCAGGTATCTAAGTAAGGAGAGCTGACGCTAAAGCAATAAGATGACCTGTCGTAACTAGCTGTGCACATTCCAGTGAATTACGCGTTGGTTTCACTTTCTCACGATTGTCTCTCATAGTGGTGGCCATTTTTGTGACGTCTGCGGGTTACATTCCTCGATCCGAGAAGCATTTGCAGTTACGAACGCAGCTGGTTTAAGTGGCCATCAATACGCCTCACTACGCGTGGTCACCCTCAGGGATATATGCTTGACATCACTTTACCACTCTCCTCATTCATCTGTCACTAACTTTTTTCACTAAATGACAGGCAATCTTTCTTGCTTTTGAAGTCTGTGTAATTTTATATTTTGAAG